CATACCTAAGGTACATATACACCAAGTATCAAAGCATTCAGGCTAGTAGTTTTTATATACCTACACCGTTTCATTTTGATGTATGAAATTAAACAGTTATTTTTAAACAATTTGTCAGTTGTATATGGATAAAAAACAGTAATCTTCTAATAGATTTGATTGACTTGCAAAAGAAAGCTATCGGGGTATATCAATCACTAAGATTGTTTAGACATCGACAATAATTTATATTCATTTTAGCAATACATTACAAGAACTACCCTTGCACTGAAATTCAAAAAGTAGTTTTCATTGGCTATAAATAGAAACAAATCCCTACTACCCATTAGTCTTTGTGGCTATACTTCAATCTTAAGGACACAGATACACTTTACCATCACTGTACTCATTGATTGTTAGCATAAATGTATTAAGTGATGAAAAGTGATGACAAGATGGCTATTTCTTTCTGAGCAACAGCTTACACTAATCTACACTAGAAGTACAAGACAGTTATTTTTTCAGATAACTACTTTCATTTAGAAACAATTCGTAGAATTTTTGATAACAATTAACACTTGGTTTCAGCCACCATTTTAAAGGGTGGTAGTCATCGCGCCACACATGCGGGAGATATATAGAAACAAAGATGCCGACTTTGACGTTACCAAGCTTTAATTAGCAAATTTTTAGGTGATTGGAAGGTATCAAATGAGTCACCTGCGGTAATTAGTCAAGTTGCGCCCAGGTCAAACCTCATACTTGTGATTCCACTAGAACAGCACACTGGATTGTGAGAAAATCAATGTTTATCAACACAAAAGTTGCACATGTGCAGTGCGATGACCACCACCCTTTAAGCCAGTTTCATTCACTGCAATATGAATATTGTACAATTTCTAGCATGTGTAATTCTTACTCAACTCTGTTTATTAGTATTTGTTCACAAGATGGAAACATGAGCTGGAGTTAGAACCTGCTGATTTTATATTCCTTGTCAAATCTACCAAACATATGCTACAAAGTCAAATTAAGTCTAATTTTTTTATTTGGCATAATTGTTAGCACTCGGCACTCATATTTATTCCTCAAATCACTTATTACATACCTGCCCAGAATCTCCCATTGGCATCACACTTTCCATCATTGAATCTATTCTCTGTTTTATGTTTATCAATCTCTGCTAATCGGATCATCTCACCAGTTTCTATGTCAAGAGTACCAAAGTGTCTCCCGGCAGCAACGACATATCCACCTTGTTGCCTAGGAACAACAGCGCTAACAGTCGAAGCTATAAATATTAGAAAAATAGTTGACTTTATTTTTGTTTTGTTTTTTGATATGTCATATTGTTTTAAATATCTTTCACAACATTTTCATTTTCTTTAAAATGCTACTTTTTACTGTGTGAGTGGTATCATAATAACCATTTTATTATATTAATTGATGTTTCAACAGCAGGTGTAGCACCAGTTATCGTACTATTAAAGTGATGACAATTATAGTGGAACTTTTTCTATTCTGATGCACTAGATTTGTATCAAAATAAGCCAGCTATTTTGTTAATATTGTTAATCATTACTAATTTGGAATCACATTTTCGGAAATGTAGAATACAGTTATGATTGATTGATTGATTGATTGACTGATTGTGAATGGGTAGCTTCAAGATCGTAGCAAAAAGATCGTACAACAACATCGGCAAATCTCTTCCGTGCTGCGTTCAATAACACTAACTTATTTAAATAAGCTATATGGTAATTTGAACATGTTGGCATCATCCATCGTTTTCATTGGTTAATTATCAGTTTGACCTGTCAGGTCAAAGAACACCGTCCAGGTCAAAACATGGTGGATATTCATTTCTACAGCATCGAGTGTTGAAAATGTGATCAGAATCATTCGCTTACGATGAAATAAAGTTGAAATTTATTTGCATTTCATAACAATTCAACGAATTTATTTTTTTCACGTTATTATAATCATTACCAGGTAATAATCAACAATCGTGAAACGCAGCATGGCCAGATTGCGCTACCGCGATCATTTGCTACTAAGTAATGCAGTTGGGTTCGTTTTTATTTAAAACTTCTTTTAGAATATACTTTCGTTATAAAATGAAACAAAATAATTGTATTTGGCGCACGAGGTTCGTTAATGTGATATTTTGGGAGAAAGATGCGCGGTCTACTTTTTAATCCAGCAAGAACAAAATGTATAAAATTTAATAAATAGTGTCTTTCGTTTTGGGTGGTCCCACTGCCGGCGTTGAAAATCGGCGTAGGTGGATTTTTCAATGAAAATATAAGCCCCCTAAAAATATTTGAAAATGTTTTTGAAAATTTGAACCACCAAATAACGGCCCACCAGTCGTGAAACCGCCCAGGGCGATTTTTCGGATAGGCGAATTTACGGCAGAATCCGGTATAGGTGATTGACTACTCACTGCAAGATTTTGCATAGAGCATAAAGGATGTGGACCAAATGACTGTTTCCTATAAAGAAACAATCTTAAATAAGAGTATTTCAGTATCGCAGTTTTAAAATATTTGATCATTTAATCTTGATATATGGAGCTGAAATATAGAAGCTGAAATAACAGTTCTATCGCTTTATATTAGATGTGTGTAAAGTAATTCAAAGAGTGAGAGGTGCAGAATAAACAATCAGGATAAAAGCAGAAAGAGCTCAAATAAAATCCTAGTACAGAATAAACACACTGGTCTACTAAAAATATGGTCTACTCATGCATGGCACAGTCTCCGTTAGTTATCGAATTTAAGATATATAGTTTTGTTTATAGTAATATAGCTGGAATATAACCATGTCAGGAATGTGATTTTTTAACATTAAAATGATTGACAGTTGTGTCTGATCATCAGACAAGTACTTGTCCATATTGAGAGATATTGCTCTGGAATAGCATTAATTAAAACAAAATCAGCCATTTTGAATACGTGTATATATATATATATAAATATAACATGATGTATAACGAATATATAAAATTTGAAGATAATCATTTAAGAGATATGGCTCTAGAAGCCCAATCATTAAAACATATTGGTCGCCAGTCAGCCATTTTGAATCCAATCTGAAAAATAAAATGACGTGCATCAAGAATCTGTAATGTCTCATGTATGTTATAAGTTTGAACAAAATCCATTCATAAATACAAGAAATGCTTGATATTTTAGGATTTTTTTCAGCCAAAAATAGCCACCATTTGGCCATTTGGAATAGGATTGTCAAACCAATATATCTGTTTATCTATGACATGATGTATAATGAATATTAAAAATTTGAACATAATCAGTTAAAACAAGTCAGACATATGGGTCTGGAAACCCATTCATTAAAACAAATTGACCGCCAGACAGCCATTTTGAATCCGATTTGAAAAATAAATGATGTGTATCAGAAACCCGTAATGTCTGATGTATGTACCAAGTTTGAACGAAATCCATCTATAAATGCTTGATATTTGATGATTTTTTTAGCACAAAAATGGCCACCATTCGGCCATTTTGAATAGATCGTCAAACCAATATATCTGTCTATCTATGACATGATATATAATGAATATTTAAAATTTGAAGATAATCAGTGAAAGCAAGTCAGACATATGGCACTAGAATCACATTCATTAAAAAAAATGGCCACCAGTCGGCCATTTTGAATCTTATCTGAAAAACAAAATGATGTGCATCAAGGTCCTATAATGTCTAACGTATATACCAATTTTGAACAAAATCCATCTGTAAACAGCCGAAAAATGCTTGATTTTGATGATTTTTAGCACAAAAATGGCCGCCATTCGACCATCTTGAATCAGATCGTGAAATAAATTGACGTGCACATGTATAATATCATGTATGATGTATGTGTGAAGTTTGATTGTGATTGGTCCAGGCATTTCTAAGATACAGGTCCAGACGCACGCACGAACACACAGAGGTCAAAACATAAGTCCCCGAACAATAAATTCAAGAGGTTAATTACCTTCCTTCACAGTAACTTTTTTCAGTATTTCTGTGCCTGGTCTCCATTGGAATACTTCTGACG